TAATGTACCACAACAGAATAAAGGCCATATGTGACAAGCCAATAGTTGTATCATACTCAATGATAAAAAGTTGAAAGCCTCTTCTCTAGGATGAGGAACAAGACAAAGATGCCCCCTCTCATCATTTCTACTCAACATGGTACTGAAAGTCCAAGCCAGATAAATGAGGCAAGACAAAGAAATAAAAGGCATTCAAATCATAAAGAAAGAAGTAAAATTGCCTCTATCTGCAAATGACATACTCTTATATATGGCAAAACCTAAAGACTCTATCAAAAAACTGTGGGAACTAATAAATGAATTCAGTAAAGTTGTGAGCCATCGCCCTTCTATGTATTAGAAATACTCCATCAAAACTGGGGCTAGCTCCTTTGAAATGGTGTACGGACAACCTTTCTTAATCACTGACCTCTTGCTGGACTAAGAGACCTCAGACTTAATTATGTTACTTCTTTGGCCTACTTTCAACACAAATTAAGACAACTAACAGAGGCCCAACCCTGGGACCTAGAGCCACCCCTGTTAAGTCCAGGATACTTGGTACTGGACTTCTGTATCCACTTTGGACCCAGATGGGAAGGACCCTATACTATTCTTCTTTCCACCCCATCAGCAATAAAGGTTACAGGTATTGACTCTTGGATCCATCACCCTAGAGTGAAAGTGTGGAGTTCAGGAGAAGTTGCCTCAGCTGAAGAGCATACAGAATTAAGATCGTAAAAGATACTGCCTATGGATTTCCTCCTGATGTTTCTACCTATACTTGCTGCCTTTGTTTTCATCTTGATTTGTACCATTAGACATCTCTGTCAAGGACCCCTTAATCCTGAGCGTTCATGGGATTGTTTTCTTCCCTAGAAGTCTCCCTCACAGGAACAAGCAAAATGCTTACTCTATCTTGCTTCCTGTTTTTAGAAGCATTAGTCGTAGCTTCTTATAAACACACTCTCTCACCCTACTTATGTGGCTCAACAGGGTAATTATTCAAACATTGGATATGTTCACGACAGAATGTGGAGGAACATGCGCATTATTAAATGAAACTTGTTTCCATGTTAACACTTCCTCCCAAATAAAAGAAACTTTACAGGTTATAAAACAATAAAATCATTGACTTTTTACAAAAACAGGCAGCTTCGGGACCCAGTTGGTTACAATCTTTTTTATCCTCTCTAGGGATTTCCAATATATGGACAAGGGTTTTCCCTTAATAGCTCCTTTTTTTGTATTGCTTGTGTTTGGTCCGTGTATACAGTTTACCTTCTTGTAAAGTTTGTTTCTTCTCACCTAGAGGCCACCAAACTCCAAATGGTGAGGCAGATGAAACCTTATATGGAAGCTTCTTTCTACCCAGGACCTTTAGATCACTCTCCAGAGGATCCCTAGCTGCCGACCCCATATGACACCTATAATCAGCAGGAAATAGAGCCCATATGACGCCCATGATCAGCAGGAAGTAGCCAGACCAGTCATCGTCATCATCCTTACTCCCTAACAGCAGTTAGGATTATTACTCCAGATGGGGAAATGAGACAGGAGATGGCTAGAGAAAGGCTATGCAGTCAGGCGGGTCCTCTGGTAACAGTGTAGCCTCTCAGGCTCAGCATTGGTAAACAAGCTGCCTGCAAGCCCCGCAAGCTAGAGTTTAAATACTCACTGCTGGGATCAAAGAGCAACCAATCAGCTCACCATTAGGGTCCTACCTCCTGCCGATTGGTCCTTAGTACTGATCAATCAGAACAGCTAAGTGCGGGCCGATCAGTTCACAGATAGTGCTAGCCAGTTGGCTTGGACTTAGGGCTATATAAGTACCAGGTTTCGGCTCCAAATTGGCAACCCTTTGGGTCCCCTCGCACTGTGAGAGTTTTTCTGTCCTCTCAATAAATCCTGCTTTCTCACTTTCTGACTGCCTGTGTCCCTCATTCTTCCTGGGCATGAGACAAGAACCTTGACCTGAACAGTTACGACCTGAAGAGCTGCAGAAGATCATCAGAACTGAAGAGCCATGCACCCCAGAGGCTGGCTTGCCAGCTGACAGAGCTGACTGAACTAGGAGAGCTGCTGGAAGGCGAGACTCCTAAGTTCACTGAGACACTCCAGGGGCAAGGCTTGCCAGCCCACCAAACCAGCAACACTCTCAGGGTTTGGCTTGCTAGCCCATTAGAGCCAACACTTCTGGGGCTAGGTTTACCAGCCTCTCCAGATGACCCTTTCTGGGGCTTGGTTGGCTGACCCATTGAACTAATACTCTCGAAGCCCAGGCTGACCTGAAAAATCCATATCAAAATTGGGGTAATTACCATATCCATCACGTAATTTTTGTTTATTTTTATTTTTATTTTTGTTTGAGACAGGGTCTCACTCTGTCACCCAGACTGTAATGCAGGGGCACTGTAGCCTCAAACTCCTGGACCTAAGCAATCCTACCAGCTTGAGCTCAGTTTTCTCTCATTTTCCCAAGTAGCTGGGATTACAGGTGTGCACCACCACTCTCAGATAATTTTGGGGGGCTCAACTGATTATCCTGCCTTGGCCTACCAAGTGTTGGGATTACAGGGCGCTACCATGCCTGGCCCATATTCATTATTTTAAACGTATGTCCAAATCTTCTATTCTGGGAGAGTTCATACTCAGCAATTTCATCTCAGATGCATTCCATCTAAATTGCTCATTTAATTTTGATTCAGTTGGTGAGGTTACTAAGTAAACAAACAAAAACCCCTTTAAATCCTATATTTCCAACAGAAATGTCATCCCAGGGGGAGTCTGGGCAGGATCTGGGGCAGCCACTTCCCGGGCCATGCAGAGCCAGTCTTAAGCAGCGTTGTCCAGTGGTATTCCTTTATCTTTGTGTTACTCAAGTATCATTCTCTGTGCAACTAAGATGTAAAAACAATTGAGAAACATTTCTCTATGATTCTAGAAGCTAATAAAAATGCCATTCTGGGATAAGTGATTCAAAAGGGGATGTAAATGCAGCTGTTTCAAATTGTGTAATTCGCTAAAGGTAAGTTTTAAAGTAAATAAATTAAAGAGTACTGAAGACAAAATTTCACCTGTTGTGTGTTTATTGTTATACTCTTAATGTTGTAGACAAGGCATTTTGAATAAAGATAAGTGTAAGCTATTTTTGGAAATGTATTAATTGAAAATTTATGCATCTATTACTTTAAAATTATTTTGTTAAATAAAGTTATCTTCCCGATTGCTTACGAAAGCATGAGAGTGTATCTCACTAATCACTTAAATAGTTGGGAATCAACTCTCTTCTTTCTTCAGTCCAAACCTCTGATAATCTTTCTGCACTGATTATTCAAATCTAAGTTTCCAAATAAACTTAAGGCTAGGCAGGCCTGACTCAATTTCTTAGACTTAAGGTCAAACTCAAAGGTAAAATTCTAAAACTCTAAGAGTTTTCACTAGTCTTCCAACAGGTTCACAACCTACATTCCCCATAACTCCATCTCTGACTAGCCTAGGAGCTTACACTGTTTCTGCTAAATTCACAGTCATGTATTCCCAAAATACAGTGCTAGAAAAATACAGCACTAGATGACAGGAGAAGCAGAGACAATGACATTCTATCTATATGTAAAGTCAAACCCCTTTAGGCCAGAGCAATGGGGACATGTTAATTAGCAATAAGATTAATGCAACATAATAGGGCATACCTAGGACCTAATCAACAATATATACAGGTATCTAAGTCCTATCCCCAACCCTGAATTTAACATGCACAGCCAAATCTCAAAAAATAAGCCATAATCTGTATTAAGCATGTTTATGGAAAAAAAATTAACTCTCCTTGGCTCCTTGGTGTTTTGGCATACTATAAAATCAATTATTAACATTTTAAGCTTATTTTTATTTTTATTTTTATTTTTATTTTTTTTGAGTGGAAGTCTCACTCTGTCACCCAGACTGGAGTGCAGTGGCCGCTCCCGGCCACCGCAGCCTCGACCTGCTGGGCTCTGGCGATCCTTCTGCCTCAGCCTTCCAAGTAGCCAGAATTACAGGCATGCGCTACCACGCCCGGCTGATTTTTTGATTTATTGTAGAGATGAGGTCTCGCTGCCCAGGCGGGTCTCGAACCCGCAGGCTCAGGCAATCCACTCACCTCAGCCTCCCAAAGGCGCGGGATTACAGGCTGAGCCACCGAGCCCGGCTTAAGCTTATTTTTAAAAAGACTTTGCCAAAGAGTCAAAATTCATCATAAAATGTAAGGAAAGATTGTCTTAGATTTTTAAATGCAATCAAACTGATCAAGTGTGGGCTAAGAGAAAGATAAAAAATTACTTATAACCAAGAGTAAAACATGCTAAAGCATTTATAGTTACCTATATAGTTAAGTAAAGAAACTTATTATTCAACTCTCACCTGAAACACCAAGGGAGAAAAGGCATAGATGCCTACTGGCTACTAATTTCCATGCCCAAATAAGAAATGGAGACGTGCTTTGAATCTTATTTTTACCACAGTAATAATTTTGTTGTATTATCTCTATTATCTCACCCAACCCACCTCAGCAAAACCAGAGTGCTATGCATAAGCAGCTGATCAGTATTAGACGTTCAATTCAAGGATAAGAATTTGTAAAAATTTTGTGTCTATCCAAGGAACAAATTAAAAATTTTGGCCTTATCACCACAGTGTTCTAACTGAGTAGGCAATGTGTGAAATCACAGCTGATTCAGTTGTCTTGGAAACTGACTATCAATTCAAGATGGGTCTCTATTTCTTATCACTGTCTGTATTCTGGGCAGCACACATCTTCAGAATACTTAAGGGACAGGATAAGAGGGAAATAATGTAATAAATTTTCCATTATATCTCACATTACCACTGAAAGCAGTATCAAACAAGCAAATGCTATTTAACTGCTCAAATTATACAAAAGAACATTTGTTTATATGCTTTTCTTTCTTGGATGCCTTTTAGTTTTACATAAAACCCATTTTGCTTTAAAGGCAAGAAAAAAAAAGATTAGTATTATCTCTTACCAGACCCATGAAAAGGCCAAAAACCAAGGTGGCTATGATGAAAAAGACATAAGAACACCAAGCAGGAATTCCAAGAGTCACTGTGAAATAGTTGTGAAGATGCTGTAATCAGAAGAAAAAAAATATTTGTGATGAAGACTAAAAATAATCTCCTTCTCTAGCTGTAACTCAAGTCTGCAACTTATCTCTATGTATATAAGCTTCTACAAAGGTTTATGTATCTAAATGATTCTTTAAAACTAAGTCAAATTTTATAATATTAGATAACCAAGAGTAATAATCAAGGTCATATCTAATAACAGTTATACTTCCTTAGAGTTCATGATCTGGATGTAATCTGGTAGAATTGTTTTGCTAGTCCTTTCTTCCATCAGAATAGATTTTTTTTTTTTTTTTGGTCCCTTTCCCCTAATAATTATAAATACTTCAATCTTTACTTATTGACATCAATTTTAAAAACTAAACTACTTGGGCCTTCATCAATTTTTAAGCAAAACTAAATACTATGTACCAAACACCAATCATTTAAAATGTCTCCATACCTCCCAGTTTTAACCAGACTTTCATTGCTCTACTCCTACTCAACCTTAGCAACCTAGCTAAATTATCATAAAACATAAAAGTGTAATATCAGACAGAAGAAACTGTTTTTCTGGTTAATTCACTGTGAGTAAATGAGATTTTTTTCACCAATCTTTGAGTACAGTGTACATCTCTTCAGTCTCACTATTCCCTGGGACTATTTGATGACAAACACTTTAAAAATAAATGAAAAGAGAGAATCTTAGTTAGCAATTACAGATATGAACCTGCCGATTTAAAGTCAAAGTTCACTTAGATTAGAGGTGCAGGAGCCATGCCTCCTCAGAATAATTTACCTATCTGTTTAGACCCTTACAGTTTCAAAACTGCTGTATAAGTATCTGCCAATTTATCTTACTTGTATGGTTGGGATGAATAATCTGCAGTTTGGGGGTAATGTGCAGTTTTAAGTCCTTCTCAACAGTATCTTATGCCCTTTCTGCAAAATAAATGACTTATAAAACCTTCAGGAAACTTTTAAGGTTTTTATAGATTTAGTTAAATTATTTGCTTTTGAATCATTGCATTCTGATTCAAATGCATCAGTATTTTCAAAACACCCTCTTATTTTAATAAGTTACACTTCAATTTTCTTGTATCAACTTATTCTTTGAGGGATTTATTTGAGCTTCTTAGAGAAACCATGCCATCTTGTGGTCTTTGAGGTAATTATTACTAGAGGCTCATTACCAAGTTGTGTTTTCACAACTGCAGACACAAATCTTTATGTTTAATTTGTCTGAGTCCACAATGGCTTTAGAGCCCCCTTATAAGTGTTAGAATTTTTGGAATTAGGTACTTGAAGTTTTACTGTATATATGTCTCCAAAGGAATAACTGAATAAAACAAATTCAATTCAGTTTTACATTTTTTGTGTTTATGTTTCTTTAATCGCCAGGCAAAGTGACTTGTAGAAAACACTGATTCTTGTGTTATATGTGCTCACTACAAGGAAGTAACCTACTCTGCTTACTGGAAATACACAAAAATGTCACCTGATGGGCTTAATACCTTATACTATTATACTACTGCACTAGATGATTATATTAAAGTTAATTTTTGGCTACATACAGATTTGGGTGAAGAGACTAAATGAAAACATCATCATAACAGAATAAATGAGAAGAACATGTAAATGAGTAGCCAGATGAATTTAAAAAACAGAACCAGGCCAAGGCCTCAATGGATTTTTCTCCCCAGAAAGGCGAGCACTCCCTCTGGAAGTCTGAACTATTGCAGGCCAAGCACACCCACCCATCCAGCCCAGTGTTACACAGTCTCATTGAAAGCTGGACTGGCCCAAAAAGACAGAGTACATTTGGATGTAGAGCTCACCTGTATCACAGGACACACTCTGAGGAGTTCTGGGACGAGCCCATTATCCCCAGATCAGAACTTCCCACGTATCTTCCCTTAGTGGGAATAGCTAAGAAGGACTCCTCAGTGACAGCCAATGGTTCACATTTGCCTTTCACATTATAATTCTCAACACCTGCAAAAGGTTCAACCTTTCAGCCTCTTGTAGGCTCTACGAGAGGTACCTTGTAGATGTGTACCATCTCAATGTAACATTCTACAAGCCATTCAGGATATTTTGAAAACATATAGATATTTATGAAAAAAATTAAGAGAATAAATATACCATCTAAATTATAGGGGAATGTTTTCAAGTTTTAAAATACACTCTGTTATTCTCTAGTTTAAACATTCATGGCCTTTGATTCTCAATATCAGTATTTAGAAAGTCATTAATCCTCTTACATGTCATCCTAATCAAAATGGAAGGTAGTATCCATCACACAGATTATCCCCCTAAGGATGTATAATACTTTATTTTAGCAAAAATTTGCCATATGCCTGCATCCTTTAATAACAATAGTAACATTTAGGAGAAGTAAGTTACATCCTATATTACCTCAGTGAATAGCATAGATTCACCCAATCTAATAAAATAATGTGGGTTTTTTTTGTTTTTTGTTTTTTTATAAAATAATGTTTAAACACATTTTTTAACTAAAATTTCTCTTTAGCAATCAGTGAAGGCCATGACCAACTTCCACCTAAGCTGCAGAAATGATTCATCTCTTCATCTGCATTTACCAGACTTTGTACTAATGTTTTGCTGTCAATGCCGCCTGACATCCGCCTGTTGCAATTATCCTGTTGAATTAGACATTATAATGTTATATGTATAAAGCCCAGAAAGTTATCAAGCTATGTGGCTTTATCAACCTTCAGTGTCAACATACTGCAAAAGGCAGAATTCCTGACTCTCAATTCCCACTTTGTAATTTATAATTCTCATTAACCTTGATTACGCTTCTCAATAGTGTTAAGAAAATAGCAGAAGAAAAGCACACTATCTGGAAAGAGACAAAATACTAGTTACTGTGTAATTTAAGAAAAAAAATACCAAAAAGGTTAAATTTTAGCCAAAAAAGCCTGAAGCCAAGTTTCTGATTAGCCTCTGTTGTAAAAAACAAAACAAAACAAACAAACAAACAAAAACCCTGTATTAGGTATTCTACCTTACAAGGCAGAATATATAACTGAGAAACTGGGATACAAAGGATTATTCTTAAGTTTCCCTCCACATTTATCAATGTGCATGAGAAACAGAAAAAGAGCCTTCACAAACTCCTTGAATACTAAGTTCCAAAGATGACACCATAACCTGTAATCATAACTTAGAAAAGACATACTTAGGGAGACTCACTTCTAAGATTTTTAAAAATATCTTGTACTATATTTAATTCCAGAGAAGAATTTTATTAAATCTGGTTGGATTTAGTCCCCCGCAACAGAGAAGAACAAAACATTATAGAACATATTCAAGTTTATATAATCATTCAACAATTCAACCTAAGTAACAATTCTGAAATTATCCAGTGAAACTAAATAATCATATATAGTAGGTATCTATAAATTTTTTATTAAAGGCCAGACTGTAAATATTTTAGGCATGTGGGTCACAACTCTCTGTGTCTTTGCCACAACTACTCAATTCTACCATTGTAGCATGAAAGCAGTCACAGATAATAGGTAATGAATGCGGTAGTGTTCCAATAAAACTTTATTTACAGAAACAAGTGTCCCTACAGGTTGTAGTTTGCTGACTACTGACATGTAGAACTACTTTCAGGCTCAGACAATCTTTTATCTATAGGGAGATATGCCAGTGTGAAAATAAGATAAAGTAAAACCATATAAGCCCTTTTGCTTTGAGAAAGGACTTTATCACTGATCTAAGAAAATCTGACTTTAATACATTAGTTACAAGGCAATGTTCAATTTATGCCCTTCTAAGCAAAAACATTACCAATGGGAACCAAATATGAGAACCAAATATGTCACGAGTCAGCAAACTACAACCTGTGGGGACACCTGTTTCTGTAAATAAAGTTTTATTGGAACACTACCGCATTCATTCATTACCTATTATCTATGACTGCTTTTATGCTACAATGGTAGAATTGAGTAGTTGAGACAAAGACACAGAGAGTTGTGACCCACATGCCTAAAATATTTTCAGTCTGACCTTAAAAAAGAGTAGTTGTGTGGTTTAAGATGTGAGATTATTAAAGTATTTGTAAATGTTTGTTTTCCTATTGTTTAAAAGCTATATTTTAATACCTAAAAACCTCTCTGCAAATATAAGGATTTTAAGATTACGCACCCATATCTTGCCAGAGATGCTAAAAAGACCAGCCATTCCAGACATCCTAAAAAATAAAAAATAAAGAGGAGAATCATTAATCGTTTATGCTATTTTTAAATATCAGGTCAGAAGGATTGCTTCTTCTTCTTCTTGTTACACACTGTCCTCTCTTCCTGGATTCACTTCTATTCTTATGGAGTTAAATTCTGTGGCCATCATTTGAATCACTCTGCGGCAAATACACTTCAATTCCTTGTCCTATTCTCCTTTCATTGTATCTACCTGGCAAAAACTTCAACCCTGAGCAACTGAATGTCTCTGGGGAAAGCTTACATTGCCAGCTGACATTTCTTGCTGCTTCACAGTCCTAAACCTAAGCAAACACCCAATACTACCTACACATACTGCATTTTTTAGGCTCTGAGATAGTCGCTCATTTCTCCTTTTCCTTCTCTTCAAAGCGTACACATCCTCCCCTCCCATGTACTCTCAGCAGAAAACACTCCTCATAATGTGAAATTAGAAGGCATCATGTGATCTCTATCTTCCCACCCCCAAATCTGAGTGTGGTGTATACCTCCATCCACCTTCTCTTATTGCACCAAGAATGTCTATCTGCCCTACCGCAGTCCAATTCCTCCACTTGTGCCTTGGATCCTGTCCCTTTTATTTTGCTCATGAATTGGTTCTTTCTCTCATCCCTTCTTCCTACATGAGCAATTTCTCCCTCTCTGCTGGACCAGTCTCATAAGCATGCAAACATGCTCTACTCTCTCCTATCTTTTAAAAAGAGCATCCCTAGACTCATATGACCCTCCAGCCTCATAAACAAATTTCTCCAAAGAATTGTCTATATGGGCTGTTTTTTGGTCTTAACCATGCCTTTAATACATTCAAACCTGGCTCCTATCCTCTGCTGCATTATCACTACCCGTCAAGGCCATGATGACTTCACCTTGCTTGCAATGTCCATGTCTCAGACTTCATCTTTCTTCACCTCTTGGTACCATGGGACACAAGGGACTATTCCCTCCTTCTTGAACACTCTTACTTGGCTTCTGGAAAGTGGCACATCCCATAAAACCAGTGAGGGTTTCATGCTACCTCACCGGTACTCATTTTCAGTTTCCTTTTGATGACTCTCGCTCAGCACAACTTCTTAATTTGGGGGTAGCTCATGGCTCAATTCCAAGCACTCTTCTCTTTTTCCTTCTCTCTAGGTGTTCTCAATTCTAAGGCTTTAAACGTCATCTATACGTTTTATATTTGTGTTCCTGAAATTCTCCAAGGAGATCCATCTCTATGTATCCAATTTGACAATTCTACAAGTCTGCACTGTAAACCCAACAAGTCCAATACCAAATCCCTAATTTTCTCTTGTCCAAAACAGTAACGAGTACCAAGGTCCACCAAGTACTCAAACCAGAAACTCAGATATTTTTATTTGCAAATCCTTCTCCTTCACCTTGGCCAAGTCTATCTTCAAAAGGTATTTTAAAACCACCCAGTCTCTCTGTTGCCACTGCTACTACCTGATACAAGCTAAGCTACCTTCCCAAGCCTGGACACCATAACAGCCTTCTAGGTGGTCTCACCTCATCCATTCTTGCCTCTCCAGTCTCCTCTCCTGAGAGTCAACTTCTCCCTGCATGTACTGAAAACCTCCAGCATCCTCCCTGAGGCCACAGGCTCCCCATGATCAGCCAGGGAAATTCATGTTCCTTTTCTGGTCTGCCTCTCTTACTCAGCTCATATCATGCTCCTTCTCACTGTGCAGGGCCCTGGACACAACTCTGCTCCTGAGCACACCAAGCTCTTTTCCAACAGGGACTTATGTGTCTGCCATATGCCTTCCTGGGGATATTCTTTGCCCTGCTCTTGACCTGGGTTTGTTCCTTCTACCCTTCAGATCTGACCTAGAGGACTTCCTTAGAGTAAGCTTGCCTAGCCCTTCCATCTAGAGCAGGTCCTTGACCCCACTGTTATTCTTTGTCTTTGTAAAGTATGTTGTTGTCTTTCTATCTATCTTTATCTAGACTACCATTCTTTGTATCTCTAGCTTTGTGCTTAATCTGTTTTACTCACTTTAAGTGAGGGAACCCTGAAAGGGAAAGGAGGAACCCTGTCTGTCTTGTTCACTGTTGAATACCTACCCACTAGAATAGCATCTAGCTAAATCAGTGTTCAAATATTTGTAGAATGAAATGCCAGAGGTGAATTGCTTTTAGAGTAAGCTATGTTTCCTGAGTATTACTACAGACACCACCAGATAATTTATTCCTGAAATATTGCACTATTTCCTTTTTCAGTAGGGATATTTCTTATACTTGTATATCCTAATAAAAAATACCTAACCAAGTATTATATAGTTTGCTATCATGGCCAGAAGTTACCCCAGCAGTATCCTGCTAGGTGGCCAAAGACACCATAAGTTTATTTTCCACATAACATTTTATTAATGAACTATAATTCAAGAAGAAATTATTCCTCCATCTTACCAATAATTAAAAAAGGAAACAAATAGCAAATGGTGTTCAATGCCATATTTTGTAAGGAGAAAAGTCATCATGGCTTAATGAAAAAGCTGGAAAAGAGGCTTTCTATAACCCACCCAAATCTATCTACTTAATTCCCAGTATACTAAAACCTAACTGAAAGATATGTGGGTCACAAAACCAGAAACACCACATGGAGAAAATACGGCCATGTCTCTAGTCTGGGTAACCAGAAGCAAATATGAAGAGAAACATAGGCTTTCAAGGCCCACAACCTGCTAAATTAAAGCCCCTTGTTTTATTAATAACATCTTGTCATTAAAAAATTAATAGGTTACGTTAGAGAAGCCGGGGATTTCCAGCCAGTCAGAGGTTCAACAGATTGCCATTTCTTCTCTAAGATATAATTCTGCAGGTCTTCGAAGATTCCTGGGCCACGGTAACGGCGGAATATCCCATCCTTTGCACTATAAATTATGAAAACAAGTAGAAAACAAATCCATTAAAGCTGCAGGTGTTATTAGTTATTTCTGTGAATTTCACTTGAACTTTAAATTGGCTCAAATGAAAAAAAAATTACAATTAGGCATAAATCAGAAAGCATGAATAAGCTTTAATCTATTAAAAGTAAGAAAACCCCAAACTGAAAGCATTAACCATTCTATTTTATCACTGCACAATTAGTGATTAAAAGCAAAGTTCTTGGCAGCATTTAATATGCCAAGCTACTTTTTATGATTTTTGCTACCAATTACTTCAATTTTTCTTTTACAATAGCCAAAATAATCAATTTTTTGTTATTAAGATACAAAAAATTGTATCCACATTTCCAAATTTATGTCATTAATGTCACTCCCTTCAAAAATCAACCAAAAAAACTTGGTCATATGCCCCCCGCCTTCAACTTCACTCCCTCTTGCCTTCTCACCACAATCAACGTTCTCAGGGAAGGAGTATTACCATTTTCTCCTCTTTATAACAAAGTCATTACTTGGTGTAATTGGGGATTCTGCTCCCACAACTCCACTGAAACTGTTCATGTTGGGGGTCTCCATAACTCCTAGATTGCCATATCCATTTCTCTTTCCTCCACCTGTCACTGGGGCATTGTCGACTACCGGACACCACTTCCTTTCTCCTTTGGCTTGGTTTTCATGACAGTAGCTCTCTGGACTTCTTCCTACTACTTCGACCATCCCTTCTCAGTTTCCTTCACTCACCATCTCCCTTTGCAGATGCCCCAGTATTGGCCAACCCCAGATTCTATCCCTGACCTGCTTCCCTTACCACTGTATGTGTTTCGCTGTTATTTCAACTGTTATCAATCTCAATGCTGAGGAATTCCCAGTATCTGTGTCCATTCTAGATCTTTCTTCTAGATACTGATATCAAACTGCCACCTAAATTTCTCCTTCTGGAATTAGCAAAGGCACGTTGCCTTTATGATTTTTGTCTCTGTCTTCCAAACCTAATGGCCCCTTATCTTGAAAGCAGGCAATGGCTTTTACTATTACACATGGTTTGTTGGTAGTCTTTATAGACTCTTCCTTTCCATGACTAATCAGTCACCAGGTCCCAGTGATACCACCTCCAAAGTATCTCTGGAACCTACCCCCTTCTCCTGTGTCTTTTGCCAGCCTCTACCTGAGCCTCTCTAGCCTCGTCATCCAGCATGAGCCAACTAACCTCATGGGCCAATCTCAAAGAACCAGTTACAGTTCTCAAAAGGTATCTCATTTTCTCCTGGTTTTTTGATGCTATCTCTTTTACCTGGAAATACCTTCTCCACCTTGTTGACTTAACCCATTCTTACTACTTGTTAAGAATTATCCCACCGTTTGTATCATGAGAGAAATCTTCTCTGATCCCTTCTGCCCACCTATCCCCAGCCTGAAATCAGGTCCTTCTCTGAGACACTCTAGGCACATGTCTCTTCTCATGCAGAGCAGACCAGTTTCTCTTTCAATGATAAGCTGAATTAGTGGTGCTCATGGAAAACAACTTGGATTCCCTAGTACATATCTACTGAAATCTCATCTTTTCAAGACCAAAAGATTATTTAAACTTACTGAAAAAATGCTGGGAGAGTAGTGACAAAGAAGCGGCCACTCAATCCTATAAGAAACATAAAAAAAGTTACAAGTCCAACCCAAGTGTTTAAGTTTCAAAAAAACCCAGAAAGCATTCTTGAGCTTGCTTTCATAATCACATTATTAAAATCATTACAATTATTGATTCACATTTACTATTTAATTTTTTACTTGAATAAATTTTATGTGTAGACATTTTTATTTAGCCAACACTTTCCAGTCACTGACAACTTGCTTATCTTGTGTCATCCTGGAATTTCCTGGTCTGTGCATCATTTGAGATTATATGGAGGCTGAAAGGACAAGATTTACAGTCATACGATCTGGACTAAATACTAACTTAACTTCCCTACATGCTAACTTTATGACTTTAGATTAATTACTTAAACTTTCTGAGTCTCAGTTACCTTATCTGTAAAATGTGTATACTACAGTCTAAATTGTTCTAAAATAAACTAGATCAAGTATGTTAAGGACTTAGCATGGTGCTAGGCATTTAGTGAAGAACTCAAAATTATTATATCAGTTATCAATTTAAAAACAATAAATTACATGAAACACTTAAAATCATGTACAATCTTCACACATTTATGGAATTTGTAAGTACCATGAAGAGAATATATATGTATGAACCATATTTTTTCAATTATTCTTGGCAAACCTTTACTGATCACTAAGCACATATCAAATGCTATGCTATGTGCATATAATGACAAAGATAAATAAACCCTCAGTCCCTCAGCAAATATTAACTAAGCACCTTCTGTTCCAAAAACTGTAGTAACTGCTCAAGTCCTAATGAGTAGATATGCAATCTCTGTTTTCACAAAGCTTATAGTCTAGTAGCAGAAGAAATAATTTAATCAAATTACCACAATCATAACCATAAACAGAATGATATCAAGAAAACAGGCATGCAACAAAAACCCAAATGAGTCTGAGTAAGAAATATCCCTGCCCTTTAAATGTTCACAAATAAACAATGTTTACAAATAAATAGCATTTACGTGAGAACCAAGAATGCGCAAAGAGAAGGAAAGCTAAAGGATTCTCCTGGCCAGCATGGAAAAACTATGGAGGCATCATTTTAACTTTCCTCATCTCTTCTGCCTTTCCCTTTCCTACTGAAGAACAATTTGAACAAAAGCAAATACCTATTCAAAATAAGTCGCTCAAAGTTTACATCTCTGTGACCACACACAATTCAAAATACTGCAGCTTTATTTTTAATAATATGAAATCTGCTTTTACTTGTTTTATAGATTAAATCCATAGTTAGCATAATAATATATGAACTAATGACGAGACTTCTCAAAGAAGGATTCTCTATTTTATTTCATAACAGACCAAGTGGATTCTAAACATCCCCATGGTACTTAAAAGGAAACACAGTACTCTGGGGTAGTAAAAGTCAATGTCACAAAAAAGAAACATATACTACATAAATTTGCCATTGCACACTGAAAAAAAAAAGCTGTACTGGTAGTAACAAAAACATAAGTGACCTGTAAAGAGGTCAACTGAGGATTGTAACAATGCCTCCATCTAAGGACATTTTCACCTCTGACATTGCCTGAAATTCTACCCTAGTGGAGAACAGGGATGCCCTACAGTGTACTTTCAACTCTAAATTGACAGGGGAAAGTTATTGCTATTCCTAAATGCTTAAAAATTGTTACACATTTTTAAAATAATTATCAAAAAGAGTGTCACATCTTACTTGGTTTAAAATAATTATCACAAAGAGTTTCACATCTCACTTCTTTCCTAGCTATAGATTATTTTGACCACCCAAAAATTTTATCTAAGGAGAGTTTTGATGTTAGGGAAGTATGTTTTATTTATATAGCTTTTTAAAATGGAATGAACAAAATAAATAGTAGTTTCTCACTTCTTAAAGTATTCTACTTAGATTTTATTTTTATCAGAATAAACAGTAAAGGTTTTTAATAAACTTTAGGTATCACTTAAAGCAATTTTTAAAAACATGCTCTTTAAAATCCTTCCTATGATCTTAGTAAACACTGGCTATGACAATAAATAAATTAGTAAATGAACAAATAAGTTAAAAATACTTTATAAATCACATTTAATTATATAATACCCAAAACAACATTTCCAGATACAGGAGCCAGCAGGACTAGGCTCAAACCCCATTTTTGCCTCTTATGAGTTTTAATCTGAGACAGTTAATTTATACTCTCAAAGATTCCGTTTTTCTTATTATAAATGAGCACAATTATTTATCTCATAGTATTTTAATATTAAATAGTTTTATATTTATACAGTTCATAGAATAAAGTGCCTCACATATAAGTATTAAATAAACACTAGCTATTATTTTCCATATTTAAATCTCTGATTAAATAGGAAGATGCAACAGATTTAGTCCCAAATCCTTTGGAATAAATTTAGTCCTAAATATTTTGGAAATTACACATTATTTTATAAAACAAATTGTATCTTTACAAATAAATGTACCCACAGAAATCAGTGAAAATAAGAAAAAAGAAACAAAGTAACAAATGGGCTCTGAGATTTTTCTGAATCTTTCCAGTTTGAGCTAAAATATAATAGAACACTTGTTTCCCAAATTGCTAGATTAAAAGGTATAATAATTTTATGTCTCTTGATATGAATTGCCATGTTGTTTTCCATGACTATTGTACCAAGTTACAAGGCCATCAATTAAAGTTAACTGAAAATAAAGACCAACAAATTGTATCACCTTAAAATTTATTTCATATATGTTTCTTTGTTACTACTTCCTCAGATGACAACCCATATGGAGTATTAATAATAAGGCTGTAGCATCCAAATGAGGTATGAATTTGGTTTGCTGTCAAAATTTTATTCTTTCACTTAAGGGTGTATTCAGTAAAATCAACAGCAACAAAATCCAGAACAGCCAGAGTTGTCCTTGGATTGTGGCACACTACTAAACCTATATAGATCTAACAATACAAGAAATTCACCTCAAACAAATAACACTTGTGAGAAGCTGAACGACATCAGAAAGTTTTGGGTATCATTTCAGTACTCCAAAATGTTTTCTACCCTTGATATTGATGCTATGAGGTGTTGGAGATTTTTTAATTACCTAAAAGCTAAAACATGACCACCTTAGAAGAGAAGCACCATCTGAGGTCACGACTTCAGGGTTTAAAAACAAATCCAGCATGAGTCTTGATAAGGAATGTGAAAAGCATATCAGCAGCTTGTTTCAGGGTTTACATAACAGCTCACTGCAAGAACTTCAAAAAGTGTGGAAAAAACAAGTGTACCCCTAAGCCTTTAAAAAAAGACAGAGTTTGACTAACAAAAACTTTCCCAAATTTCTGCATGTCTTTTCTACTTTAGGATGAAAATTGGCTGGGCACAGTAGCTCATGCCTATAAACCCAAGACTTTAAGAGGTTGAAGCAAGAGGCTCACTTGAGATTAGGAGTTTGAGAACAACCTGCACAACCCAGCAAGAACCTGTCCCTACAAAAAAATTGTTTAAAAAATTAGCCAGGCTTGATGGCACGCACTTTTAGTACTAGCTACTGAAGAGGCTGAGGTGAGAGGACTGCTTGAACCCAAGAGTTTGAGACTGCAGTGAGCTATGATGGCACTACTGCACTCCAAACCAGGTGACAGAGAGAGCCCTTATATAAAATAATAAAGTTAAAATAAAATAAAGACTGCAGTGCAACATAAAAAGGGCATAAATCCAGGATGCAGAAAATTTTTAATTTCATATCTGAAAACTTATCTTAAACACATTTAGCAAAAAAAAGTGTAAAGAAAGAAAAATTATGGCAGATAATTATATTGTGACATGCAAGAACACAACAGAAGCTATTTAAGTTCAGTATTAAGAAAATAGCTAGTAGCTTTTGTTCTACTCGTTTTTGTTCTACTATTTACTAGCTCTGTTACCTTGGTCACATTACTAAACCTCTCTTCGCCTCAGTTTTCTGATAAAGATAGAGATAAACAGTTTATCCTTCATAGAGTTGTTATGAAGCTAAAATGCATGCAAGTGTGTAACACAATTACAACCTGAAGTAAGTGCTCACTAAATGTTAGTTACTATCACCAACAAGAGCAGCAGTAGGAAAACACGAGAAAAAAGTAGAATCATTCTTACCTTTGAAACTGAAATAAAGTTGTCGAAAATAATACAAAAGATAATTTTACAAGTATTAAATTAAAAATATAACCCTAACTGAAATACTGTAGACTAAATTGGCATGTGTATGAAATTGGTGGTCTTAAACACAATACTTTTTGTTGTTTGTGCTAGGGGTCTAGCTTACCTCTAATCTAATGAAAGAGCCATCACCCACAGGTGATCTATGAGCAGCTGCTGTTTTCCTGTCCTTGACAACTAAGCTTATCTGCATGGAACAGAGGGTTCAAGAACATTCTAATTAAATTTAATCTCCCAAAGTTAACTCAACTGAAACATCACCTAATCTATGCAGTATTAAGTAGGCAATGTAATGTAACCTAATCTAAGGTCTGTCCTTTCCTTGACTTCTGTATCTTAGCTATAAAAATCCAACATGCTTATAATCTCTAGTCTTAATAATTCTGGAATCTTATTTTGTTTAAAATATCTAAACGAATCCCTTATTACATATGGAAAAGTTATAGGCATAACTAAAGTATATGCATGAACACTTCAAAAATTCTTATTTTCCCCTCTTTTAAAATTCATTACTATGGGGAAAGAACTGAAATTATTTCTTACCAGTACTCCTGTGGCGAGGCTATAAGTAAAATATCAGTGGAGACCTATAACCAAATAGAAATTTGAATACAGAAATATCCAGTAAGGTGCTCAACTGGGGGGAAGAGTAACCAGTATCAGTTCAATGGTTTTCTAATGATCATGCGGATGTTAGAGTTTGTAAAAATGAAGTAAATATTCAACTTGTTTCCCAGATAGGGGCAAACTGCCCTGGAGGCTTACAGTTTGTTAGTATCACACAGGACTCCCTCTCTTCATTTTGCTTCCAGATCCTCCTACCTCTTCCTTTCCCTTCTGTCTCTAGCTACTCCTTCTCTGCTGCAATTGTTTCTTTTCTTCTAAATGTTGCAGTGTCCAGATCTCTAGCACACTGCCCCTGGCTAATCCCAATTCTTCCAGTTTCTAATACCATCTACACTGATGATCCTCAAATTTACATCTCTAGCTCATTTCTACTTAGATGTCTAGTTAACATCCCAAACTTAACCCTGTCCCAACCTCCTCCTCAGTCTTCTCCATTTCCTCTCTTTTCACCATATCCTACAGCCAACCCATCAGGAAACCCTAGTATCTCAAATCCAACCACTTATCACTGCTGCTACAGGTCCAAGTTACCATCTTCTCATCTGGACTAATAATTAACCTCCTAAACTGTTCTCTCTACTTCCATTTCTGACTGCCTGCCATCATTTTTTTTTTTTCACACAGCAGTCAAAGGAATTCTTTTGAAACATAAATCATGTCTCCCCCCTGCTCAAAACTCCTGGTAGTTTCCCTTCATACTTCATATAAAATCTAAACTCCTTGCCATGGCCAACCTGACCCTATGTGGTCAGGTCCCTAGTTACCTGTCCATCCCTATTTATCTTAAGTACCTCACTGGCCATCATATTGTTCCTCAATTAAGCTATGTATACTCTTTTTTTCTTCTTCTTCTTCTTTTTCCGAGTTGGAGTCTCACTCTGTCACCTAGATTGGAGTGCAGTGGCACACTCCCGGCCACCGCACCCTCAACCTACTGGGTTCCAGCGATCCTTCCGCCTCAGTCTTCCAAGTAGCTGGAACTACAGGTGCGTGCTACCACCCCCAGCTAATTTTTTGATTTATTGTAGAGATGAGGTCTCGCCAAGTTGCCCAGGTGGGTCTTGAACCCGTGGGCTCAGGCAATCCACTTACCTCGGCTTTCCAAAGCATGGGATTACAGGCTGAGCCACTGAACCCAGCACTATGTATACTCTTATCAGCACAAGGTGTTTGCTCTGTATGGAATGGTCCTCCCACAAAGCTTGTGGAAGTGTCCTTCTTCAATCTATCAAGATCTCTGGTAAAACAGTCCTTCCCTGGCCATCCTATTTTTAAAGTGGTTCCCATCATTTTCTACATTTTTACCCTATGATATTTTTCTTCACGGCCTTTACCAGCATCTTACATTGTTTGCCAATTCATGTTTGTTACTATCAACCTCCTTCACTAGAATGAAAGCTCAGTGAGAAGCTAGGCCTCTGTCCTTCTATTCATCCCTTCATTACTGGCATCTAGATCAGGGTCTGGTGTGTGGAAAAAACTCAAACATTTGTTGAATAAACACATTATTTCTAATCCCTATTGAAAGATTAATTAAAGGTATTAGGTGCTGGGCTTGGTGGCTCAGCCTGTAATCCCGCACTTTGGGAGGCCGAGGTGAGTGGATTGCCTGAACCCGCGGGTTTGAGACCTACCTGGGCAACTTGGCAAGACCTCATCTCTACAGTAAATCAAAAAAATTAGCCGGGCGTGGTAGCACACGCCTATAGTTCCAGCTACTTGGATGGCTGAGGCGGAAGGATCGCCGGAGCTCAGCAGGTCGAGGCTGCAGTGGTCGGGAGTGTGCCACTGCACTCCAGTCTGGATGACAGAGTGAGACTCCAACTCAAAGAAAAAAAAATATATTTGGTTTGTAATTCAAAGTAAAATGATAAACTTAAAACAGTATAATCTGAAAATTAAGTATTCTGTAGACCACTCAAATAATCACGTATATAGAGTAAGTTTGTCTCCTAAACTTTATTTATGAGTTGCACTTTTAAAATTTTTATCACTTAAGAAAATGGTAGAGCATCTGTCTTTTAAAAACTGTTCTAATCCATAATAATTAATCATCTTTCTTTTGTTGGACTTTGCTTCTTCACTATTTCTATGGAATACCAGACTAAGGAGTTCTTTTCCTTATTCTTTAATGAGTATTTCAAGTACATATAGTTTAGATTTACTTGCCTGAGTCTAGGCATTCGAAACTAGCCTGGGCAACTTGCTAAGACCACATCCCTACAATAAATAAAAAAATTAGCTGAGCATGGTGGCACACACCTGTAGTTCCAGCTACTTGGAAGGCTGAGGCAGAAGGATAACCTAAGCCAAGTAGCTCAAGGCTGCGGTGGCCATGAGGGCAACAGAGTTAGACTCCAAATAAAAAAAAAAAAAATCCATTCACAATGTAAATAATAGCCATATTTTGTTGTTGTTGTTGTTGTTGTTGTTGTTGTTGGAGTTATTGATGATGACCATCCTGACAAGTTAAATCTATATTTTTAGAAGGAAAGACTATATACTATATGTGACCAAACATTAGATTTGTGAACCCACCACAAGGTTGTTTAATTATTTTAATTCAAATTGTGCTATAAATTCATGGCAGGTATACCAAATGACTGAAATGTGAATAGGCCAGCTGCATTTTTGAGAAACCTGTCATGCAATGTGCCTGGTGTCCACTAATTAACAAATCTTATGCCTGATTTTATCAGGCTCAAACTACTAAAGTTAAAACAAGTTTTCAGCAAAAATGTAATTGCAATGATTTGGTATCCAAACAGAAAAACTCATTATGGCAGCCAAAACCATGAACTAATAACTATAATTGACCATTTCTAAATAGAGAATGGGCAGGTGGCTTTGTTTCAAATGCTTCCAAAGATGGAAGCTGAGGACTCGTGGCTTTTAATAGAAATCTCTGTTCATGGGATTGTTGACACACCGATTTTAACATGGATCATCCATGTTAATTTGTTGTCTATGCAACTAGTACTTCATCAGTGTTTTTGAACTCACAGTTATAAAAAAAAGTGAATGGCTACACTTTTATGACTATCTTCTTATTTTTGATTTTATTTTTATTGGGTTTTGTTTGTTTGCTTCTTTTGGTTTTGAGACAGGGTTGCACTCTGTTGCCGAGGCTAGAGTGCAGTGGCACGATCATGGTTCACTGCAGCCTTGAATTCCTGGCCTCAAGCGATTCTTTTGCCTCAGCCTCCAGAGCAGCTGGGACTACAGATATACACTACCACACCCAGCTAATTTTTCTATTTTTTTGTGGGAGCCTGCTTCACTTTCCAGGCTAGTCTCAAACTCATGGGCTCAAGCAATCCTCTCACTTCAGTCTCCCAAAGTGCTGAGATTATAGGCGTGACCACTGTGCCTGGCCTTTTATCTTCTTTCTGTCCTTGTAAAAGGATATAGTAGGTAGAATTTGAATGTCAATAAACAAGATGACTCATAAAATGTAAAAGTAGCCAAATTTTAGAGATTTAGATCATGAAAGGTCAACTGTTCTTTCAAATTCTTAAAACATAACAAAGTAATTTTTAAATTACAAATATAAATTCGTTGTGTATATTTTTTCAGAATTTAAAAGTGTCTTCAATCTCTCTTCACTCTGGGGTGAAAGCAATTCTTTTTTTATTTTCCTTGTAAAAAATTACATCATTCACAGTAGAGATGGAATGACAGAATTAAATATTTACCACTCTTGAACCAACAATGAAATAAATGACTTAGGCAAGATCATCATGTATCTTAACACCCTAAACTATTATCCCAGAGATTATCTGCTGATTGCAAAGTGGGGTTGTTTCTACATAATTGAGATATTTAGTGCTCCCACTTTACCCAAGTACTCAGACTTAACATCACTAATGGTGACACCATATGGTTGTAATGAGACCCAATATGAAGTAACAGCATTAGCTATGAAGTACTCTTGCCATAAATGTCTAACTGAATCACACCTCTAGACTGAACTACTAGTTTTCAGAAAATGAAGAAAATATTCTTATCTATATTTTATCAGTTAAATGTTACCATAAGAAAACACCTAAGAAAATTCTAGCCTATTCTCTTCAGAATATAAACATCATTAAAAAATGAGGAATGAGTCTACATTGAGAAAGACTAAAGAAACATAACAACCGCGGGGCTCGGTGGCTCAGCCTGTAATCCCGCGCCTTTGGGAGGCTGAGGTGAGTGGATTGCCCGAGCCCGCGGGTTCGAGACCCGCCTGGGCAGCGAGACCTCATCTCTACAATAAGTCAAAAAATCAGCCGGGCATGGTAGCGCATGCCTGTAATTGCGGCTACTCGGAAGGCTGAGGCAGAAGGATCGCCAGAATCCAGAAGGTGAGGCTGCGGTGGCCGGGAACAGCCACTGCACTCCAGTCTGGGCGACTGAGTGAGACTCCAACTCAAAAAAAAAAAAAGAAAGAAACATAACAACCAAATGTAATTTATGAACGATGTATAAATCCTGATTCAAAAGAGTATAAAAAGACATGAGAAATAATTAAGAAGACTTAAACATACTAAATAATTGAAGGGTAAATTATCATGATGTCTGTAACTCACTTTCAAATGGCTCAGCAAAATAAAAATAGAAATATATATGCACATATACACATGTAAACACATAGACAGACCCAGATACACCAAGATTAATTTGTTGATAGAAGGTGGTCATTCATGGGTAATTGGTTTCCCGGTCTTTCAACTTTTACATACGCTTCAAACATTTCAAAATAAAAAGCTGTTAAATTTTTGTATTTAATGTTCAACATTTATAGTACCTGGTTCTTGAATGACATCTACCTTCCCCACGCTGATCTGAAGTATGTCACCATTCTTTGCAAAAGTTTCCCATTCTGAATCAGTCTGCTGGCAGGACGGACACCACGGTGCATAACTATAAAAGAAAAAGAGTTAATCAGTATAAACATTAGGGGAAAAAATCTGCAAAACAAAATAGAGAAGTTGAGTTTTTTAAGTTTAAAAAATAAATTCTTAAGTAAAGGGAAAGACAAAAGCAAACCTTTCCAAAGTCATTTCAAACAGAAAAACAGAGCACATTTCCTCCCTACGATTTAATGTATCAAAGTTAATTCTACCGGAAAAATTTAACCAAAGTTTGAGAATATTTTCAACAATTATTGTAACACATAAAATATTTTATTTCAATGTTATTCTTAAAATTTTATCCCTCCCCCAGATAGCTTTTGACCTTTGAGGATGAGCACTGTTTTTAGTGCCACACTATAGGAGCACAATTTTTGCAGGCTGCCCACAAACTAGCCAAACCAGTTTCAGAACCATCAAAACTACAGATCTGACAGGCAGAGACCAAAAGTCCTATTGCTTCAGAGTCTTCAAGAATGTTTCCAAACACCTGAAGATCTGTGGCAATTCTGAACCATTCTAAGCTACAGGCTAAATCAGGTCTATCTGCCACTTTCTTAACTAAAAGAGGAGTCAAAAATACCTGGGCTTTCAAGCCAGAATGCTTTTTTACAATTATTTTTCATTCAGTAAACATGAACTAAGCACAATGCTGGAAGCTGAGGCTACAATTGTGAATAACACTGACTTGGTGCCTCCTCTTCTTGTGAATTCTACAATTCAGACATGAATAGAGAAGCACAGGGGTAAACATAACCGATGTGGCAAATGCTATGATTAACAGGGTGGAAAAGATGATATGGAGACACTGAGGAGCCATCTCGGAAGGGCCCAAAGAGAAAGCAACCTCTGTGCTAAGATCTAAAGGAGGAGTAACACGCAAAGAGGGCCAAGGAATGGTCCAACTTAAGCAGAGAGAACAGTATGTATGACAGCTCAGAGCACTGAGGCAGGAGGGTGAAGACGTCATCCATGGTCTTTAAACAAGTTGTATAAGGTGACAGGACCTTATTTGAAACTCTAGGATAAGCTGTAAAGAGGTAAGAGAATTATGATCAGATTTACATTTTGGAAAAACCTCGTGTCATTCTGTGGATAATGGACCAGAGAAGGGCACGATGAAGCTAAGAGAATTGGAAGGCTGGGCAGTCATTCTGGGGATCCATTAGTGGCCTCACATTGGAAAACATCATAGATACTCAGGTCAGAAAGCTCTGAAGTCCCCTAGGATTTTATCTGCAGATGTTAAAATGAAATTCCAGAAAAGTTTGCTGTTTGGAAAGTGCTATGAACTGAATACTATTCCCTAAAAAAGACATGTCCAAGGCCTAAGTCCTGGTACTTGTAAATATAACTTATTTGGAATAAGAGCCTTTGCAGGTATAAATTAAATATCTTGGAATCAGAGCACCCTGGATTTAAGTGGGCCCTAAATTCAGTAACAACTGTTCTGAGAAGAAGGAGATTTGACACATAGAAACAGGGATGGCCATGCAAAAATGGAGACAGAGATCGGAGTTATGAAGCTACAAGCTAAGGAATACCAAAGACTCAAAGACTGTCAGGAGCCACTGGAAGATATGAGAGGCATGGAATCAAAATCCCATAGAGCCTCCAAAGGAGGTCAACCTTGCCAACATCTTGAGTTTGGACTTTTGACCTCCAGAATTGTGAAAAAATAAATTTCATTTGCTTCAAGTCACCAAGTTTGCAGCAATTTATTACAGCAGCCCAAGGAAACTAGTAAAGAAAGGACTATATCATTTGAAAACAGAAGGAATTGAGATTAAATAGGCCTTACAGAGACAGAAACAGATGACAGGGCTATGCTTAATATAAAATATTGTGAACACACAATAACGCTGGAAATCCATTTTATAATAACAGCACAATTAAAAGGAAAATTAACATTTACAGGAGTCACAAAATACATTGGTACAAATGGAGAAACATTTTGGTTTTTTAAATAATATCCAATAAAAGCAGTAAATAAAATAAATTGATCAATGCTCACAAAATAGAATGGGATAGTCCAGGAAAAAAGTTATCAGGGACTTTAAATAACATTTCGAGAGGCCACCAACAACTAGTTATACTTTTAAAATCTGCTTAAATTAAACCCCTTTAACGCAAGCAAAAGTATTGCGAGAATAAAGCAGACATTTAAAAAAAGACTTAATATCACTAAACTGTTCACATACAATAGGTGAAGGTATAGCATACCTTCTTCACCAAGGGGTAGAGGCCAGGAGGTATAGATGAAACAAGATTGGCAATATAATGATAGCTGTTGAATCTTGATTCCGGGTAATGGCAGTTCACTATACTGCTTCTATTTTTGTGTCTGTTTAAAATTTTTCATTATAAAGAAGGAATTATATCAAATAAGAGAAATATACCAATTTGTGGATAGGTAGGCATAAGCATTATAAAACTGTCAATTCCCTCCAGTTTATTTTTTTCTATTTCTGAATTGTTTGGGGGTTTTGTTTGGTTTGGTTTGAGTAGGGTCTCACTCTGTCACCCAGGCTGGAGTGCCGTGGCTTCATCATGGCTTACCACAGCCTCACACTTCTGGGCTCAGGTAGTCTTCCTGCCTCAGCCTCCTTCCTGAGTAGCTGAGACTACAGGCACACGACGTCATACCCAGCTAATTATTTTTATTTTCTGTAGAGACTAGGTCTCACTATTTTGCCTAGGTTGGTCTGAAATTCCTGGGCTCAAGCAATCCTCCCACCTCGACCTCCCAAAGTGCTGTGATTACAGGTCTGAGCCACTGTGTCAGGCCTACTTCTGAACTGTTTTTACAAAATGTGGCACCTGTTATTTCTATATCAAAGGCAGAAAGAGGCAACTGAGAACAGTACAAAAGAATGCCTGCCAACAAAATAAAACACACACACACACACACACACACACACACACACACACACATCTTAGGAAAAAAAACAAAGTAAGGGGGAAAAGGACAAAACTGACCAAATTGTGTAAAGATAGAGGCTCAAAGGTGCTGTCAGGTCTCATTTACAAATCCTTTTAAAATCGTGAACTCTGCAGAAGCATGTGTATAAGTATCATTCACAAATTAATGCACTGACACATATAAACCAACTTTCTGAATAACAAAAAAAAACAAGAAACTAAAATTAGGCAAGAATTTGATCTTTCCCAATATAAAAGGTAAGGGGGAGGTAAAAAGCCATGATTAGGAGAAGAAATGTATTTCTTTTAAGAAAATATTGAAAATTAGGCAGAACCCAGAAAGGGCTGCCCAAAGTCAAAGGATGCATTTCCGTCTCCAGTCAGGCCCCAGAAGCAGCAAGACTTAGCAAGTTGTTCACCTTTTCTAACTCCATCTCTGGAAAAGAATATTATATAGCCAATTCTAAGCTCACTCTAAAAGGTCATTAATCTTCCCATTATAGCTCACTGTCTAAGCCCTGAGATCCGGAGACAGGGATCAGAGAATAATCCGCTGACATCTTTGAACATAGATTTTTTTTTTAAACATTTGTGTCACTACATTTCCAGGGTAAAGTATATTACTGGTATACAGTTAGCACTCAATAAATGCCTGTTAAACAAGTATATAAACTTTAATGAAAATTATATTCATATGTGAAAATAATTATTTTCTATATATTGTTTAAATATCCAAATGGCAGATGAGACTCAGGCAGCTAGCAAACTTTAGGGAAAAAAGAAACATTGAATTAGGTACATTTCAACAGCCATTTCAGGATATTAGACAAGCGTGTGTCAGAAGAATCAGAAAGACCAACCAGGAATTAACCATGTGACTTTGGGCAGATTAATAATCTCTCTACGCCTCAGCTTCCTCAACTGTAAAATGAGATAACAGTAGTGACCTTAGGAGGTTATTGAGAGACTAGGTGACATATGTAAAGTAGACACATATTATGAGCAATTATGAACACAAATTGCAATATTCTCTTTGACACCCAAGCTGCATTAGGTCATCCAAATTTACAACCTCACTGCCAGAGAAAGCAGTTTAGAGGCTTGCTTAAGGTCTTCTAAGATCACTCAGAGCAAGAATCCAGATGGAAGCATTTCTGTGATAAAAATCTTCAACAAAAATAAGTCAACACCAACACAGGGGGTGGGGAGAGGGGGGAGAGGATGAGGGAGAGGGGG